TTCTTCTTAGCCTCGTGTTTATTTATATTTTGGTTGTTGGTGTTTTGAACACCCTTGTTAGTGGTAGGGTCCATGCTGATGACACTGGGAAGGCACAAGAATATGGACTAAGAGCCAGTCTGGACCTCCAGGATGGTGGCAACATGGCAACCTTCAAACATTTCAGTTCTTCATCCTTCAGAAACTGCAGGAAGCACAAGGCCACTGAAGGACTCGTGCCCTCAGGCCATCCTGATAAAGCTCGTTTCTGATTGTTTGGTCAGAGATATCCACTCTCTGGTTTGGGCAGTGCTTATCCTGTTCCTTCTTACACAAAGGAGCAGATACCAGTCCTGCTGACAGCTTAAAGAGCTTCTATGGCCGTGTTCAGCTCTGCTAGAGTACTGAAACCTCCTCTATGCTGTTGAGACCGTACTGAGAGACACAGCAAACCCACACACACTCTGCACTTCTATGTAACATTTACAGTCTGATGGATGCACTGGGAGTAACTTGGGTTCAGCATCTTACTAACTTTACAATGTTAGCCACATGCAGACTGGAGCAGCCGGGGTTCAAAGCACCAACCACCACCATCTTTGCAAACCACTCTCGGTTATCCTTCACTTCATTAGGGTAAATAGTCCTGACTGTCTCACCTTCTTTTTAGAGTCTATGATGGTGTTTTTGTGGTTTCCATTCACAGCTTTTTGCTTCTTCATGTTCTCCAGGGTGGTTTTGCGGTTCGGGAACAGACCCATTCGCTTTGTGCATCCCACATTGTAACTACAAGGATAGCAAACAAGGCAAGTTCAAAATCTGTGCATCATTCACAAATCTGAACTAGATGTTTACGTCTGGTGTGTTGTGAATTAAGTTATTCCTTTGTCATTCTCAGTAGAAGTGTTCTTTGTATTCAGTTCCATTTTATTTCTATAGCGCCAGTTCACAACAGTAGTCACCTCAAGGTGCTTTATATTCTAAGGTAAAGACCCTAAAATATTTTAAAATAGCTGGAACTATAGCACACAGCAAGTCACTGCACACAGGAGAGAAACATGTGACACTGAGGTCACAGGCAAAGTCTGGACCAAACACTCAAGTAGCTTCCTCAGTCATATTCTCCTAAATGTCGACTAATGATGTATCAGCTCGAAGACAATATTAAGGCAGTGAACCACAGTGAACTGTGAAAATGAAGACAATGATCTTACCGTTTAGCGCACACCGTAGAACAGAACCTCTTAGATCTTTTGAAGATGTAGGCAAAATCCACCCTGCCGCATAATTCACAGGTCAGCATGGGCTCCTGCTGGCCCTTTACCTCTGAGGGAACAGTCAACACAATCTTTGTGATCATCACGCTGAAACTGTTGAACATCCAGTAAAAAGAACTGCATCCAGCAGCACCAACACCAAAGCTGTTAACCAAAACAAGGGGCTAACACAACTCTAGAGTTCTACACAACTCCCTTTATGCCCAGTATTCCTGACTGCTTTCTTACACAAAATAAATGCTGAATGAAATTTAATGGCACTTTTTTAGTCTCACTGAGCAGCCAAAACACGTTTATATGTGCAGCTGAGGTCACTTTGCTACTTTCAAAACCCTTCGACCAATCCCTGTGGTAGTGACAGATCAGACTGGACTTGGTTTCACTTGTACGATATGAAATTAAATTAACAAACTGTTCCAACTTAGGGAGCTTTTGATGATACCGTCCTTCCATGAAAATGCATATGGCATCATTCTGTAAAATGTTCCTGTTCAGAGCCCATTCAAAAGTGATGCAAAACAAGCGTCCCTGCTTGCTCTTATGCTTTTAAGCATCTTCAACATGATGCTGTCCTACACCTTCTACCTCTACATGCACCCTCAGAAAAGAAATGCTGGAAATCTCCTCAATCTTGCATATAACTGAGCAAGGATGAAGGTGTGATGGGATACATTGTAGCCACAGCTGCCCTGGGGCACACTGACAGAGGCGAGACTGCCGGACACTGGCTGACTACAGTTTACTGTGTATTCTGAAGCTCTGCAGTCAATCAAATCTTTGTCACAAACCCAGCTGGGGAAGAAGTGTTGGACGGGTCAAATATGCTGAGGCACAGTAATGATTTTCATTTATACATTTATTACAAAGGGCCATCCAAAACCCTACTGACAGTTGGAAAACAGTGGGACACAAATTGATGTTGGTACAATCTACAGTCAGGGAAAAAATTATTTGAACACCAGCTGGTTTTGTAAGTTTGCCCACTAAATAAAGAAATCTACCTCTAGTCTACAATTTGAGTTGATTTGAACAGTGAGAGACAGAACAATAACTATAAAAATCCAGAGAAATGCATTTCTAAAAAGTTATAAATTAATTTTATAGCTTGTCTTAGTAAAGTGTCGGGCCACCAAGAGCCACAAAAACAGCTTCATAGTCCTGGGCACTGATTTTGAAAGTCTACAAGGAATCTGAGGAATAAAGACAACCACTCAGTACAGCTTTGGACTGATTTACAGGGACAAGCGTGCCCAAACCAAACCCATATTCTGAGAAAGAGAAACGTTTAAATTTGACAAACCCTTTGTTGACAGGCTGTCCATCTTTGAATCTGGTGTATATCTTCTTAGATTCTCTATTGAGAAAGATGGACGTTCCACCTGCAGACACAAAAACATATCAGTGCACTCATGCTTATTAAATACTGTTGGATGAAATCATTCATAAGCATGTACATGAATGAAACTTTCTTAATAGTATGACCTATAATCACTCTTGTCCTAGTGGGAAATAAAAGGCCTTGTGTCTCTCTTAAATCTTACAGCGATCAGCTGGTGGGTAATGGAGGCAGAACTGACGTCATCCTAGAACTATTTAGGAATAATTCTATAATTAGCAAAAACAAAAGCTTTTTAAGAAGACTGTGGTTAAAAACATGACTTAAAAGCCTGTTATACATAGTCTTTTAATAAAGATAAACAGCATATTAATGCTGAGGCTTCTTCCAACGGTCTTGTTAGGAAACGGTTTAACAAACATGTCGTTGGTTTGAATTATAGAATTACAGAAATCTGCTTAGAGCAACAGAAGAAGGAAGTAATCTAAATAAATAAAAGCACTTATTAAAGTTGCTGTGAGAGTAAGATTTTATTTGTGTTGGCAAAAAATAAATAAAACAAAACAAAAATATTTTCTCCTATTCAGCCTATCCCAGCTTCCATGTGGCAAAACACAGGGTGCCGCCTACACAGGTCATGTTGCAGGTTAACACAGAGAGACAGACATTAGTTTGCACTTACATTCATACCTATGGGCAATTTAGAATCATCACTTTAACCTAATCCCACCAACTACATGTCTCTGGATTGTGGGAGGAAGAACGAGTACCAGAGTACCTGCAGGGAACCCCACGCAGACAAGGGGAGAACATGTAAACTCCCCACAGAAAGGCCCCAGATAGCTGATTCGAACCCAGGACCTTCATGGTTTCTCTGTGTCGCTCACATTGCTTATACTAATTAACAATTTATATGGTAAGAAACCAAACAAAAAACAGTGAAAATTTCAGGCTTTTTATCTTTAGTGTTTTTTGAGTAGTTTTTTATGGTTGGGAAAAATATCAAGCCTCTGAGGAGGTGTTAAAGTGACTGAATCAAACCCAGAATTTTAAGTGGTATTTTTGCATTGTGTTATACACCAGGAGGCGTTGTGCAAATAGGTGTTTAAAATGAACCATGCTGTTGATGTCTGTGAAGGTTCTCAGTCATCCAGGTCATCGTAGTCAAAGGAGCTTGCAAAGAAAAGCGTCTGGACTTCTTTAAGTTGCTTGAAGACGTTTCACCTCTCATCCGAGAAGCTTCTTCAGTTCTAAGGTCAAATGGTGGAGAGTCCCAGATATAACCATGCTGTTGATGTTGTAACAAAGGCACTGATTTACATGCAGTTTGTTGTACTTTTGGAGGAGCATGAAACTGAACATGGTGATACAGGCTACCACTGAGCAGTCAGGTGGCTCAGCCCAGGCAAAGTGCTCAAAGAGCACAAATTTCAGCATTTTCCCCTCAGTCACTGAACCTTACTTCACTTGCTCAGCCCAAACAGACTTTGTACAAAGTTAAGGCCTTGAACTGTTGCACACACATGCACAGTGTGCTCATGTTTGGTTTTTGAAATGCTGATAAAATTTTAGCATTTTTACTGTGCCTACATCACATTAAATTACCTCACTGTAATTTGATGTGATGTAGGGATCAAATTACAGTGTGTGCACGTGCGCACACACACACACACACACACACACACACACACACACACACACACACACACACACACACACACACACACATTCTCCAAAACAGTAATGCACAATCCTCATCTTGTTAATGTGACATTACTCATTCAGACCAATGAATGTAGAAAACACCTGGAGCCATCTCTACTGCCCCCTGGTGTCTAGCTGCAGCACAGGCCATAAAGCAGATGGGACTGTGGTAAAACTAAACAAAAACACATTTTCTCAGACAAGTTTTACCCAAAGATGGTTTCAGCTGTTATTGGTCGTTCTCATTACGTGTTTGAGGGCTACCCTCTCCCATAAGTTTGATTCTAACTTCTAACTTGATGCTGTTACACCGAGGTCCAAAAGTCATCGCGCTGCCCAGTCATCAACATTACTGTTACATTACAGGCTGAACTGTTCTCCTTTTCCTCTGCAGAGCTGTTAAATAAATATCTGTAAACAGCTGCATGTTTCTGTCTCCACATATTTTAGGGATAAACTTCACATTTGACAGTTTGTGATGATTATTTTGTCTATAGAGTAACAGATGCTGACCTAGGATTCCTCACCCTGCCCAGTGACAACAGATAAATATTCTTATATGTCCACTCTTAATGGTAACTACCCACATTACATTGGACTAAACTTCAAAAAGTCAAAGAGATTAAACATCCATGTAACTGGAGTCATTATATAGGAGCATAAACAGTGTTTAGGAAAGCTGCTGATCTCAGACCTGCACAGTTTCTGCTTTAAACACTGAATATATTCAACTGCATAAAGAGAACATGAGATTTTCTTTGACAGCATTAAATAAAACCTGATGAAAGTCAAAGGTCTTCACTTATTCACTTTAATAAGGAATTCTTTCACATTGTGTTTTGCTAATAGAGTCTTATTTGCCATAAAGTCATTCAAAGCTATTCATTCCAGAGTAACCAGAGGGGATAATACACAGTCCAAAACTTTAAGACCACTTGAAAAATGGCAAAAATCATATTTTGCTTCAACATGGAACACAAAACCTTTTTTGAGCATTAAATTTATTGAAAACAACGCTTAAACTGAAACAGGCTGTTCTAGCAGGCTGATCCCTGCAATAAGCTTCCTGATGTTTCTGAAATGATGTCTCTCAGTGAGTCAACAGAACATCTGGCACAGGACAGCTGTGGTGACAGAAAGGAAACAAGCTTCTCCAAACCTCTGAACACCCAGCTTGGTCTCGCTCACTATCTGTTCATAATAATGTGGACTCTGTTATTACATGAAAAGGACAAATTAAACTTCTATCAAACCTTCTGCTGCATTTTTAGATCTAACATTTTATTTAATGTTTCCATGTCAGCAGAGTGATCTGTGAGTGGATCTAAGACTGTTTAAATCTGCAGTTCTATATCATCCTCAGTCTTATGTTAAAATCTCAAAGAATGACTTTTAATGTCCAGATAATTCTAAAAGCAACTCTGCTGACGTCACCTCTGTTTAAAATAAGACAACACAAACTAAGGAGTAATAAATCCTTCAAAAATGTGTGTAGCACTGCTAACTAGCCAGTAACACACTGCATACGCTAACAGCTAATCTAGCAAACAAATCACCACCAGGAGCTACAGAGTGATGTCAGATGTTGTGTACAACTATAAGATAAGATAAGATAGAACTTTATTAATCCCTCGGGTGGGTTCCTCTGGGAAATTCGATTTCCAAAAAAGCACAGCACCGACAGAAGTTACAGAGTTACAGAATATTATATATATATATATATATATACACACACACACACACACACACACAC